GATCGAACCAACAACCTTCTGATAAGGGGACAACCTCTGCACCACAGCGGCCCTGTACACTGTGTGTCATGACACCTTTCTATCAAAACCAGCATTAACGTTTTCAGCAATTTGAGCTACAGTAGCTTGTCTGTTGAATTGGACCACATGGGCCAGCCTTCACTCCCCACGTCCAGTTATTTTCCTTCCTTGTATATACTGACTTTTAGCAATTGAGACCAATTTTTTTTACAAAAATGTATTGGAGTCAGTATTTCTAGCTAGGGTACTTCCTTATTGATTAAGACAAAACATGGAACATCCCAGTAGCCTCCCAGAGGACCATTTGCTGCATGTCACACCTCTCTTTGGGCAATTGTTTCCCATCTGCCTCAACTATCAACTATCCAATAAAGGTGAAAATGCCCAAAAGAGATCTTGGAACAAACTCTCCGCAAAAAGCAAAAAGCAGGCCAATAAGACCGTGAAGAAGCATTTTATAGACAAGATGTTTGGAGCTGCATCAATTAGCCGATTCATCTCCAGACAAATAATCTGTAAACAATTTGATTATAGATTCATCATTTAAATGAACTGGTTTGAGCCTCTAGAATATGAAGCTTTCCTGCTTTTCTCTGTTAAATATGACTGTAAAATTAATATTTTGTTGTTGTTGACGGTTGGTCAAACAAAACATCTGAAGACGTGAACTTGGACTCTTTCAACTTTTCACTATTTTCTGACATTTTATTGACTAAACGATTAGTCAGCAGATTAATCGATAATGAAAGGAATCGTGGGTTGCAGCTCTACATTAAAACACATTATATCATAAAATCAGGCAACTTGATGATGGACATTTTTACAGTGTTGGAGACAAAACGAATCCTCACTTAACTGAGAAAGTAATTTCCTGCTTTTATAGATTTTCTAGAAGTTTCCCTTACCTGTCCCTCCAGCAATCATGCCCACATGTTTGGCGGTCTTGGTCACAGCTGCGGTCTTTTTATCTTCTTGAATGGCAAAAACACCTGCGGAGGGAAAGTTACAGCATCAGACGAGGCCACTGAAGCTCAATTTGAATCATAACTGCAAACATCTTTCCACTTAACACAGCGAGACATCAGGTCACGGCGCTCACCTTTGCCCTTGTACACGAGCAGACCACTGGGTCCTCTGAAGTCGATAGTGTCGTTGATCTTGAGGCTCTCCATGTACTGACTCATCTTCCCGCCCTCAGGGAATTTAGGGTTAACATCTTTAAAGTAAATCTGGGACAGCAGGAGAAAATGGGTTCAGAATAAATAAAATGGCACCCATACATATATGCAGAAACTACTTTTCCCTTCAGGCTTTACCTTCACCACCAAGTCCACAAAGCCTTTGTCATCGTCGCTGGACACCGGCGTGTACGGACGCACGACCAGCTTCCCGTCGACTTTGGCAGACAGATAGATGTGCTGCCCTGGGAAGGAAAACACAGAGCGCCATGTAAAATATGCTGGATGCTACTATTTTGATAAGTGACTAATAGTTTCTGTCATTTTTTTAAAAACAAAAATGCTGAATGGTCTCTGGTGTGAGCTTCTCAAATGTGAGGACTCACTGTTTCCTTGTATCATAAATGACAGTGGTTTGAATTATCTTTGGATTTTAGACTGATGGTCAGGTAAAACAAGCAATTTGAAGACGTCAACTCAGGCTCTGCGAATTGCAATGGGCATTTGTATACAATTTTTTTTTGACATTTCAAAGACTAAACGGTAAATTGAGAAAATATAAACACATAATAGATTAATAGATAATACAAATAAGACAGCTGAACTAAGTAGGTAATATTAGGGCTGCAAAATAAAAATGTATATGCATCAAATTACCAGAATGTATGTATATCTTTGCATTTGATTTAAATATGAATTGAACAGAGGAAGTATCTGCATCATCCTAACGTTACTACCTTATATTCATTTGTGTAATGCTGTAATTAAATTCCTTGGCACTACAGTATGTCTTGTCTCTTTTTCTAGTACTTGTGTACATGTTAATGCTTTTAATAGAAGGCAGGCATTCTCATAAAGACTGTGACTGGTTTCCAAATGTATCAATACTTATTTTGATTGATTAGGAGCACATACTAACCAATAGGGAGACCGAGGACGTGTTCAGGGGAAGGCAGGGCAAAGCGAAACTTCCTTGTGTCATGACTCACAATCTGTACGTGCAGAACACAGAACACTTGGTCAGAAATAAAAGTTGCATTGAAAAAGCAAAACACAGATCGACGCAGGTGCTTGAACGCATCTGATGCGTTTGTAAAACAGAGAAACAGCAGATTATGTGCAGCGTAAGGGGATTTTCAGACTGGTTACCTGTTTGTCCAGCAGCCGCAGTGCATACTTAATGTTCGGGTCCTCTAAGGTGATGGCTGCTCTCCTCTTTGAGAAGAAAAGTCTGAAGATGAGGTTGATGATGCCATCAAAGCCGCCTCGGATCAGCTGCAAAGAAAAAGGGGGAAAAAGCGAGAGAATGACTCAGACCAGCAGCTTAGCATTAGCCCCACCGACTGCTGGAGACCTCCGTGGGGCGTTGTCTAACTTTAGTCATTTTGTTTTATCCATAACAGGAGAAATGAGTCATAGGAATTCCTGTGGGCAGGCCTGACGGAGCTCCCATCTGAACTTGGGTTGAGAAAACTAAATGTTAGCCGACGTTAGCCCTTAGCTAGAGCAAATTAATTAAAATATAATACTTCTGGCTACTTTGCATTGAGGTATACTTACACCAATGATGTAGGACAGCATTTTCGGTTAGTTTAAGCGACTGCGGGGTCGTTTGTACACGCAGAAAGCAGCGCCGCACGAATTTACTGCAACTGTGACCGTAGTACGAGGAGCTGTCATGTACGGCAGGTCAAGTTAGTTAGGTTTAAAAAAAATACCACATCCGGTTCGTGTTTTAAAAAATAATGTCTTTTTTTTTTTTTTAAATAACACCCAGCAAGTTAGTTATGCAAATTATTATAGCCAATGGTAAGTAAGATACGGGTTTTTTTAAATTAATTAAACCTGATATAATACAGTCTTTATATTTTTTCAACAAAATAGCAACGGCAGTGGACAACTTCCGGTATAATGACGGCTAACGCTAGCTATCTTGACAAAGCTGAGGCTCAGACGTCACTTCCTCACGACGGGCCGGGATTTTCAGAATAAATATAAGACTTCTCAAAATAAAAGACCACAATTAACAGCTGGCACAGAAACAAGTGCGCGGTGATTTCTAAGAGGCGAAACATTATTATTATCAGTATTATCCATAAGCACCAAATAAGAATGACACTATGTGGCTTTGGTTACTCCTTCGCTCCTCAGCCAGAATGGAGCCTTATTTGATCATGCAGCTTTTATTATTTTAATGTAGACCACAGTAACAGCTGTAATGGACTGCATTAAGTCATTAAATATCACACCAATGGAGCACTCACAAAATGTAGTTTATATTTATATATTGTGCAAATATTATATAACTATTTGTTTTTGTTCTTGTTTTTTATGCCTCAGATTGTATGTACTTTTGACGGTTACTTATCTGTCCTATGCATCTGTTCATGCACTTCCTGTTGTGGCTGTCACAAGCACAAAATACATTGTAATCAGTCCAAAAACATAAAATATCTGATTTTCAAAGGCTACACAACTTTGACAGCCTATTCGAACCATATTTTACACTCTCTTACTTTATCCCCCTCACTTCCACTGTCCTGCTGACAGTACAATTTGTTTAAACTCATACTGTGCAGCCACATTTTGTCAAAATTAACAGAACTTTATTATAAAATTTGTCAGGCAAAATTTGGGGTAAATGTGCATAAAATGATGTAAAAGACATCTAGAATATTTCCATTTGGTTGAGCTGTAAAACCACAGAGTTTTGAGTTTGAATATTTAATTACGTGTAAACCAAACATTAAATATATTTAATGAAGAGCTGGAACAAGCTGATAAAGAATATATGTGTGAGAATTGTGAGGATATGGAATAAGATGATTTTCAAGTCACTTAAAGGGTAAATTAAAATAAGATGGATGTTGAGAGGGTCAAGCTTCAGTCTGTACAAATACCACTAAATATTCATAGGATGTTCTTTACTGATTACATGTTTGACATTTAAAACCCCAAATGAGCTTCATTTCATAGCAGCAGCCCGGAATCTATAAATCTACAACCACAGGGTGCTCTCATCATCAAATTCACTCTCAGCTGAGCTTAACATTGACGTGACATCATGCATTTGGTGGGAGGACAAACTCTTGTCCCCGTTTTCTGGCTCAAGTACATCAGTGAATGTTCACTAATAGAAATTGATCTGTGCCCAAAGCAAAATGGAAAACATGATCTGATGTTTTTTGCATTGCTCATACACTATGTTATGCTCCTTTGCGTCCTTTAGATGGCAGTAGTGACCTTTTTAACAGGCTGCTTTGGATGATTCAAAGACAATTTAAAGCAAATGTCAACATTAAAATTCTAATTTGTCATGCAAGCGATGCATGTAGACACTTTTTGATGTGACAGGAGTTTAGTGCAGGAGCAGTGAGTCATTCTTCAGTTCTGTCTATCAGGACTGTACAAACACTGTAGTAATAGTAATAAAGGTTGTTTTTGTTTTTCAAAGCTACTATTAGAGGCAGTGACAGCATCTTCTGCTGCTTAAATGAATGCTTTCGTGACAGTGCTCTTTTAATCACACAAGAAAATATGACAAGGATAAGCTTCTGTATCAACAGGAAATAAAACATTTTTATTGATCATTTGTGTATATGAAGTTATATAACAACAGTCAGAAAACTCCACAGAGTGAATCACTACACAAAGTGAAACAAAACTGTAAAACACCTCGTCAAAAATGAAGGTATACACAGCAAATATAACTGTCAGCGGCTCGCCGTCACCGCGAGCAATATGGCAGGAAAAAACACCCCAAACAGTTCTACAAGATTACAGAGAAAATTTCCACACACAAAATACTCAAGCAGGCAGTTGATATACACAAAGGCAACTAGGATCTTTCTACAGCATCAGATTCTAATACTTTACACAGCTTTGTTTTTGAAAGGTCAGTGTGGCTTTTTGTCAGTGTCACTGGAGAGAATCTTGAGTTCCTGGTCACACAGAGAGCTTGATAAGGTGTATTTTTTTTTTTTACAAGAGGAGAATTTAGGGTTTGGTTATGCATGCATATTTGGTAGGAAATCGCAATAAGAGGAGCATTGCGTTGCGGTGCAGGTAATGGCTTTTGCTTTGTGGTGTTTACACACATCTCGCAATCCAATGGGTTCTGCAATGCTTCCCATTACTGAATTCCCTGATACGTTTCTACATGTTTGTGTTATTCCTTAATTCCATAATTCTGTTTGATTTTCTTTTAGCTTTGATCGGATTATTCCGTTAGTACAACCTTTTTGTATAAATATTGAATTGCTCAGGCCACTTTTACAGAGCCTTTACCTTGTTCTTTAATCCATTTTTTTATTTAAATCTGAAGCTGTACTGAAATTCATGAATCTACATATGTGAAACATGTCAAATAAAAGAATCCCTCGGTGGAAGAGGGAATTGGGAATGTTGCTGTATTTAAGTATATTCAGTGATTTTGGAATGCTATCAGACGGGGCAGATTTCACCCCAGAGGGTTTTAAAATAAATTCATAATAGTTGAAAAAATATAAACAAAATTCTTTTTTTTTACAACAAAAAGTGCAAAGTACATCTAATCTCACGGTTAAAGTAATCTACACCAACACAGTCCATACTGTACATTCAGAGTTTTCATCTCAAATATAAAAGGGGGTTTTTGAATGAACAGAGCAGTTAACAAATAAAAAAATCCATAATGAAAATGACACAATGATAATGTGATACAGTATATGGATGATAGATAAATAAAATGATATTTGCGGCTGAATAATCATTTTCATGTCACTTTATGTTCATTCTAGATTTACATTTTTGACACGATTATGTAAATATATACATGGCATTTTAAGGGGATATTTAAATGTAGAATCTGGTTTGGTATTTAACTAATACTCCCTGAAACTTCTGATGCTGGAACTGTGTGCAAGAAGAGAAAACAAACCTTCGAAAAGGGAGGGAACCCTAAATAGAGGTGTCAAGCTCCAACCTATAAGCTGAATCTACGTGTGCTGTGTCCTAATCACTGGAAAGGAGAAACATCTCTCTGGACTGGTATCATCCTCTAGAGTTAGAATCTTTTTTTCTCGGGCAACGCCACCCACGTTAACACTATGGGATGAACATACAAGTATTGCACAGTGCTCAACAAAATGCTGTGTGAAGCAACGACCCGCTCGCACTCGAATAAAAACACCTTTCCACCTTTTTTTGGCTGCGTGCAGTCGGGCGACGCCACGCGCTCTCTCTTTCTCTGCGTGTAGAAGGGAAAATGGCATTAAATGCTACGACATCACTACAGAACAAACTGGTTTTGCTACCTACTGATAAGTCTACATCTCTAAGCACACACGGCAGTCACAGTGATACACAAAGCAGTCCTCAGAGACTCATATGGAATGACAAGTAGCTTTTTCATAATAGTGCTATCAACTACACAATAACATTGAAAACATTTAGAAAGTCCTCCTGAAGCTAGCATCGAGTATATGCAAGAGGTTCCTCCAAGATAAGAGACTTCATGGTTTTCATGGATTAAAACTTATTCCTTTTCTAATTGGACCCGTAGTAAAGGACATGATGGACTAATAGCCTACGCAGACCATTAACTTTACGGTTATTTCGCGTTCTCTTGGTGTAGTCCTGTGCCAACATGAAAACAAAACTGATGTAACTGCAGTTGGCTAAAACGTGATTTGTCATCATTGCTTTCTTTTTTTTTAATTAAGCCGATTGAGCAGGCAGATTTCTGGCTCCCCCTGCAGGTGTCCTGAAATAAAACCAGCCAACAATTGTCCAGAAATATCTTTTTAAAGAAGTCAACAAGCTAGTTCAAAGACATCCAGTGCAAAACAGCAGCCACATAAAAGTTAAAAAACATGGCTAGCTCTATTGTCACTGTGAAAAGGCAACGCAAAGCAAAGACTGCGATTCAGGGCACCATTGCAGCCAAAGACATTGTTCCCAAGAAACCAAAGCTACAACCACTAGCAAGTGGGAGTGTGCATGAAGAGAGGGTCTCTACACAAGTCACCTCCCTGAAAATGGCAGTGTTTAGAAACTCGCTTCATCTCCGTCAACGTAATCATATACATTGACCCAAAGTTTAAACATCACTCTTAATTTTTCTTTCCTCTCCTCTGATTGAAGGCAAGGGGATCGTATCAGAAGAGACAGCCCCTGGTGTCAGTAGATCTCCCCCGTCCCAGCCTTTAGTAAAGATTGTAAAAAAAATCATGCAGTTTACTAAAAATAGTCAAGACGTTGAATTGCTCTAAAAAATAGTCTTCTTAAAACCAGAGTCACGACTTTTTTTTTTACTCCCTCTCAAAGATCGGACCCCGGCCTAAATGCGATATACTTCCAACAACGACAAGGCTGTTCAAAGTAAACAGTTAATGAAATATTGTTAAATGAGCTTAAGGACACAATGGCTACAGCTTGGTGCTTTTTTGTACATGGGGTCTGTTTCTGAAGGGTTGAGAAATTAGTCTTTTTTTTGGAGCAATATTTTCTATTTTTGTAAAAGAAAATAAGCCAGTATAAGTGAATGATGGCCTTTAAAACGAGGACCTATTTCACTTAGAAGAAACTGCCAAATATGGTGAAATGAAATGCTAACTGGTTTGCATTAACTATTGTTTCTGGTAACAGTGTGCATCAAGCTTAACATATAGGTCCTCTGATTGAGAAATAAGTACAAAAAGTCGTAAGAAATCATGTGCTTGTATAATTCCAGCAGCATCATTTTTTCCCTCAGAACCATAGTAGTTAATGGCCTTGTATTTTGGGGTTTTGTGTGTATATATTCGTCTGTTCATCTTTTCTGTGATGATCCATTGCTGAACTTATAGCCAGACATTGTCCTTTACAATGTGAATATATTTCCACTAGTGTCTTGCAGGTTGGAATTCATTTTTTTCTGGAATGCAATAAGGTAATAAGGTAGAATTTTAAATCCTGGGATATATAATATTGGCTTTCCTCTATATCTGCATTTACATAATTTAAAATAGAACATCTTATTAAAAACATCAAGATATACACAGATTAGGAAACGGGTAACAACATACAAACACATAAACTAGAAATCATTTTTGTCTGCATACTTATATATACAACTGTGGTACAATAAATTCTTTCAGTCATGCGCTATCTATACAGATCATATTGCTTAAAAGAAGGGGGCATTTGGTTGGGGCGATTAAGGGCACAGAGATGGACAAACAAAAATAGCTGAATCAGAAAGGAACAAAATAAAGAGAAAGCGAGAAAAGTAGGAAACCTGATAGAAAAAAAGCAGAAGGTGGGATGTTTGAACAATTAGGATTGTTTGTGATATTAGGAGCGTTACAGCTGGAAGAGGCGGGGTAAAGAGAGGGGGTTACATGGATGGACCCATATATCACTGAGGTATTTACACATACTGGCTAAAGAGTACTACAAGGCAGGTGCTGAAAGGGCCCTGCCTATTTCTTGGTGGAGAGCTGAGCGTCCACCTCTTCCTCCGGCTTCAGCACGTGCCACTGGGCGATGGGTCTCCTGGGGTTGGCCAGCATGTCAGACCAGTGGCGCAGCTCCGTCCCCGAGCTGTTGAGGCCCACAAAGACCTTGCCGATGGCATCGTTCTTGCCGATCTTGTCATAGTCCAGAACAGTTATAACAACTTGCACTTTCTGTAGAGAGGGAAGAGAGAACGTAACGATAAGTCAAGGTGTTGTCAGCATAAAGACAGTTAATTTCTCATCTCTAAACAGACATGTTTAAACAATAAAGTTTTAGTTTATTAAAGCAGCAACAAGGAACTTTCATTCTTTGCTGATTCTTGTGGCCCCTGTGGACAAACGTGGCAGTGTTTCTACTGCTTTGTTTTTTTGATTACAAGGGGATGTACTCCGAAACCGACCTGGCATTAGGCATTAAGAATAACTATATAGAAATAGCCAGTCTTCTCGTGGATGGTGTCGTTTGCTTATGTTGGTCATAAAGAGGCATCAGTATTAAATTTAGCCGTTTCATAACCAGTTAAGAACTTCTTGTAGTAGGTTTAAGTCAGTGTCCTGTGTCATGTGACATGATCAAAAGCTCCAGAACAGCTACTAAATGGACCCTGTGGTGAGATAGTACTTGTCAAATACTGTTTTCAATGTCAAGGATGTGCTCAATTTCAACTATCCCAAGCAAAAATGAAGAATGGGAAATTCCATGACATCTGGGCATCTGCTAATAAAAAAGGTGTAGTAAGTAGACAGCTATTTAATGGACCTTCTAGTGGGACTGGTATTATTTTATTTTATATTGTTTTTAACTTCCTGTTTGATAGCCTGTCTTGTTTTTATTATATATTCTATCTGTTAATGTGGTCGTTTCTTATTTCTCTTTTTATGATGTAAAAAAGTAGCCTTTGTTTAGAAAATTTGCTCTACAAATTAAGTTTGGTATGATTTTTATTAGATTTGTACCAGCAGACATGGGCAGACCTGCATAAGAGCATTAAAAAGATCACAGAGACCAGCCTCTAAGATCTTAAACACAATTTAAACAATAATCTGAGAATTTTTGTCTTTTGTACTATGCACTCACTGTTGCTGTGTTCAGAAAGTAAGTAAGAATTTTCCAGAGAAAGATCTACTCTGAGTGGTTTGAACCATATATTTAAAACCCCTGATAAACTACAGTAAGCACATTATGCATCAGTTATTGTAGAGTACAAAAATGTATGCATTTGTGCATTAAGTTGTATGAAACAGTTGAGTGGCTATTACTTTAAATAGCAGAGTAATGCAGAGAAATGAGCTGCTCTGTAACTGACATTCCAGACCAGGCCTCGGTTATTTCCAGAGCCAAACACGGCAGAATGTTTGATTACTCATAGGTCTTCGAGTCAGCTTCGGCATGTGTTTATTCAAAAGGGACACAGCAAAGAGGAGTAACCTGGGCATCAATCTCTGGCAGAGTATATGAATTAGTGCACAAAGAGCCCTGATTAAGTTTCGATCCAATGGCACACTGAGACTGAGCTACTGCCACCTGCATGAGCACGGAGCCACTGTTAGAAAAGAGCATGCCTAATATGCCATGTAATGAAATGCTGAATAAGGTTTCCAGATGGCCAGTTAAGGTTAGTTGGTTTTTAAAGGGACAGTTCACCTTTAGATTGCTAATTAAATCACAGCTTTCTTTGATTTGATATTAGATGGCTCTTTTGGTAATTATCACTGACCAGTCAATATTGTTTTGCTGCTTCAATTGTCCTTGCTGTGATTGATTTACCAATAATAATCACATTATGGGCAATCATTCAAAGAACTTAGAAAATAAGCTTATTAGCTTTATTTCCAAGAGAGAAACAAGAAGATTGATATCAATCTCATGTCACGAACAAGGTTTATTCATCCACCTTAAACTTGAAATATCATCAACATCCACCTTGTGGTTAAATTCATTTGAATATTTTTCCGTTTTTACTATATTTAATGAACTGTATTTTTTATTTCATACATTATTCAAGCACTGTGAATTGGCTTTGTGTATTAAATATGCTATATATTGCCTGGATCCTTGTATATATTTCAAGTTTCATAATTAAGTAATCTATGAACAACTCCAAATCCTGAAGAGTCAAAGTTTAACAGTCTATACTTGCCATTACGGGGAAAGACTGAGTATGTAAGAGCCTATAGATTAACACAAATTAATCTAAATGGTGTCATGTCACTGACTGCTAAGGATTATGTGGAACTACCACAGTCAATAACAAACCTTCTCTTAGTGTTAGGAAATAGACTAATTAAAAGAACTGTTTGCAATTCCCACACAATCTCGGAGACGATTAAAATCTTTAGATTAATTATACAAATTGTCCCAAGGTCAAGTTTAACTCAAATTCAGCACTCCGCCTCTGCAGATAAAAGCGGTTAATTTGCAGCTTTCTATACGCAGTCTGTTGCAAATGTTAACAGGATGGGAAAAAGATCTGCTGGAGAAATCGATTCTCAAATAAAACTATATGTTTCCCTACAACATCAGACAGAGGCAATATTGTGGACAAGAGGTGCAATACACACAGAGGCCTAAAGAGCTGTCAGGGATGACGAGGGTGTTTAAACTTCTTTAAGGAGCCTGTTCGGTGTTGACTGATTGGTCACAGTCAATTAAGTATGTTTTTAACTCGCACAATGTCCTTCTGGCTTTCAGGAGAGCGTTCAATACACCTAATCAATGACAAGTTTATGATTCAATCAGCAGCACTAATAATTACTGAACGATCAACCTGGCACTTAACGACGAGTTAAGAAATGTAAATGTAGCCAACATACGGCTACCAGCAGCTCTAAATAAGGGCTTGATTTGGATGGGGTAGACTGGGATCAACTAATCAATTAAATATGAGGCTCATGGACCCAAACCTGTGATTTGTGAGCTGTGACAGGCTTAATCAATTTGACTCAATTACTTTCTTGCCTGAAGAAATATTGTAGTTCATTGCCCTTTCTTTCTGGCACAGTCTGTGCATTCTTTATCATTTCCTTCATAATGTTTTGGAAAAAGAGCAATTTATTTCACTTCTTCTTTGTCTTGGATATACCGTAGTTGTTGCTGTATACAGTTAAATTATGATGTGCACGGTAATCATTGTAAGATATGCAACAAATAGCACAGATACATGCTACAGGCAACGACAAGTGCAGAGAATAACATCAACTGAGCAATAGGCTTGTCAAATTGTAAAACCAAGCCTGATTTAAACTGAAGTGCCTTTGATTATATTGTTCTGATGAAAAGCCTCTAAACTGATTATTTGGTAAATGAGCTTCCACTTATCAGTTGTTTATACGCAGCAAATGTTTGCTGGTTCTTACAGTGCAATTTTCCCCTACAGTACAGCACATTATCTTTCAGAAACATTTCAGAGAGTTGAGAATGGAGATTTTTTTATTTCTGTGAATGGATGAGAATGTACCTGGATTTGCTCAAATGGGACTTCAAAGCTAAAGGACTCGTTGTAATAAGGGTTGAGGGTGTTCTTCTTGATTGTCGTCTTCTTCTTCTTCAGCCTCTTTCCGTTTTGCATCAGGTGGATCTTCACATATGGATCTGCACAGAATAAGTAAAGATTTTAGACATGGTTTTTGACATTCTATTTAATTTATATTCCTCCACTTTATAACAGATTATAAGAATGAATCCACTAGTAACAGATTTCTTGGCCACTAGGGGGCAGTGGAACAAGCTGTAGAGACAACACTGACATATTATCACTTTATAAAGTTTAGAACGTGTTAGCAAACAGTTGTATATTTTCTATTTAGCTGTGTTTCTGGCCACCTTATGCATGGGCGTCCAATTTTCACTCTCCTTTAAGCTCTCTGTTTGGTCCCCACCAACTCCTGAGGAAAATATCTGGCTCTTTGGCCATGTTCACCAGGTAGTTGCTAACTTGCTCTGTCTGCCATGTGGTGCTGGGCAGGTAGCGTACAGTGTTTTTATCAGAGCTTTTTGTTGCCTGATGAGAGCCTGAGCCAAAACAGTAAAGTTGCAGGCCTTCAAACCAAAACAATAACCTGAAAGGCACTTAAAACCTCAGTAATGCTTACGGAAACTGCAGTCTGGGGATAATTCTCTGTGAAATCATCAAAATGTTGATCATAGCAACTTTAAAGAAACCTTCAAACCTACAATAGCATCTTTGATGGATTAATACTTCAAATACAAGCGGTGGGCTGTGGTTATAAAGCATGGCCATGAGAGTCCTGTGTGTTTACATCACTCAGTTAACCTTCCCCATTCAAGAGCCTAATTTTCATCTGTCCGAATGCCATCTGAAGTGGCACCCAAGTGGTCTGCTTTGTCCGTCCTGATCCACTTTCTGGCAATCAGGTAGATTGTGTGTCTGAAAACAGCCAACCACCCATCGCTTTCGTTTGTGACGTGACACTACTCCTCCTGATTTGTTTACAATCTCCAAATTGTCATCAAAACTAAATTGGAGAAGAGGAGAGTAAGTGTCTTAGTTTGGGCTCGGAGGGAAAATTGACAAGAGGGCAGGCCGCAATCACCTTTTCAGATTGTGAAATACCGTGTTTTTTGGCTTCAATTAAATACCGTGTTTTTTTGGCTTCAATTAAAGGGACGAGGTGAGGCTGTTAATTTACACATTAAAAGAGATACTAATGAGTCCTATGAAGAATGTAATAAGTTCCACTATAATTTTCAGTGGCATATGAAAGGATCCAAAAGATGAATGCAGATTCATTAATTACTGTGGTTCAAAGAATATGAACTCATCTATTGCGGCAGTTGGTTGGTCCTTATTAATTTAAGAAATGTAGGGTATCGTCATTACTCTAGTACATTGCTGGCAGACGGTGATATGTTACAACTCAGTTGACTGAAAATGTGGAATGTGGCTGGAATGTGCTGATGGCTATTGATTAGGGCCCAAATAACCTTACTACAAACAAACTAGGTTAAAGTTGACTTCATACAGTAATCTCATTTGATTCTTTTCTTCAATTTCTTCTTCCTATGAAGGCTAATTTCTTGGCCATGTATTTTCTTGGCAATGTTTTCTAATTGTGTTTTTACACGTGTGCATATGCATAACAAAGGCTTCTGCTGCATGTAAACACAGATTTACTGGGTTACAGTGCATCTAAAAGCATTGTTCAATTTCCTGCATAACCTGATTTCTCTGAGTAACCTGGTTTATTTTGTGCATGTAAACATACTGAATGTGGAAGTGACTTTAGCTGCAGTTCCCCTAATGGTCACTAGTTGCTACTGAAAGGAAAACTTTTGACTGTATTGAAGTGAACCATCAGTCGGGGTGTCAGCCTAGTCAACCACGGTGGCTGCCGTTGCTCCTCACAGACAGTGGTTTTCTACACTTCTTTGAATATTCACCTTACTGTCAACATGTAAAACAGGATGGGGCAGATTGATGGGGGAACTCATCAAAACAGCATGTCTCATTACAAACACATTAATTTAAATGAAATAAAGGAAAGCAGAAAACACAGGTCATGGTTTGCAGTGTGAAAAATGACGACGAGATTGTTGAAAAATCTGGTTCCACATCCAAAGTCCACATAATGATCTCGACCCACATTCATGACTACTATACAAGATATAGGAGAAAAATTAATGAAAACCTCTTTGTGCCGTTTATCATTAAGACAACATGCTGTTTGAGAAAGACAAAAACAAATAACCACAATAATCTCAAAGACACTAATGAGGTAGTCCATTGCTTGAGGCTAACAATATCCCCCATAACTACTGAACCTCAGAGCTGTGCATCAGAATGAACGAGGAGTAAGACTTTGAATCAGAGCTTATAATGAGTTGTTGAACCACTGCTTGCCCTGATAATGTGGATTTATCTCTGGATCCCATATGCACAAAGTCTTTATATCGTTTCATGTTTTTTGATGTGTGTGCTGCACCGAAAAATATCTCTGTTTTTAGTTGGAACATTGTGGGATTTCTAGCAATAGCAAACACTGAACAAGCTTAGCTCCCTTAATCTTTTATCCAATTTAGTGGGATAAGGACCTGATTGCAGACTGACGGGCTCGTCCAGGGCAGCAGACATGAATATAGAGAGAAAACCACACAAACAGAGTAGGAGGGAAAAAAGCCGGGAGAATAAATAGATGACAGAGACATGAGTGAAAAGGTAACAGGCTCCTAATGGAGTGGGTGTCCATTATTACTCCCCTGCTGCGAAGAGCTGGAGTGCTGGGATGAGAAAAACAGTGAATGAGGGTTATATGTGTGTGTGTGTTGTCATTTTATGTAGGAATACAGTATAACCGTACAACAGTATCTAAATGAGGAACTTCTCCAGCCAGTATGAGCCCTTCATATCCTGGTTTTATCCATCAAATCAGTGTCTCAGATTCAAATTTACACCACAAAGCTTGAAGTTTGAAAAATAAGTTTCAAATCTTACATTTCTTTGTGTTATTCTGCACTGTCTCTGCACTGAACTCCCATAAATCAGTTGCCAGTATTGTCACATTTACCACCCTTGGATTATCTGTATGAGTGAAGTTTCTGTAGGTTTTCTTTGTCTGATCAGGCACGGGTGGCTGTCATTACTCATAGAAACTCATCAGCTCTTTTTCTGCTCATTTCAAACTAATCTCGCGTAGGCAGACCTCTGTCTCATCATGTTCACACAGAGAGCTAAAGAAAGTCAAGCACAAAAGCTTGAGAAATGCCAAAGGGCAAAGAGTGGCTATAAAAGGGATCTGTGAGATTTGTGCTTGCTAAATTAGGTAGAAAAGACAAATTTAAAGTACTATTTTTCAAATTGGAATAGTAGTCCCATTTTATGTTAGCAAACAGCATAAAAAAAACTATAAATAACTATAATAGGCTAAATTCCACCCCAGTCATTGATTTAAGACAGAGGCACAGTTCTATGTGTGACTAGGACTGTGATTATATGGATTTTTTCTTACTGCTGTGAAAAAGCAAAGTACCCCCACGGTTGTCCACTGTCAATCCCATGATGTCTGTAGACTAATCAGAGGCTATGTTTATGACTTGTCAACCAATCAGAGGCAGAGTGGAATGGAAAAAAACATAATGTTTGTCTGATAACTCAAACGTATCGCCTAATGGAATAACATTAGATTATGCACCCCACAATAAAACAAATGTTAGATTACAGAGTTAAAATTTCTCTGGCTGACATTATAATGTTTCCAGTGGATTCTTTGAAACAAGCATCTTGTCTTAAATATGCAATAAATACACAGAGGCAGAATATAACAAACTGGATGTGCTAACCTGTAACCCCACAAAATAATGTAGCTAGTTAATGATATATGCTAACTCAAGCCCTGCAAGCAGAGCAGAGGAGAGACGAAGAGTTTTATGTAACTTAATACATCATACAGTATTGCATCATGTGTCAAAATCACAATAAAAAAGAATAATAAAAACATACAAATGTGGCAATCATTCATCATTATTGGTAATGATACCTATCATTGCAGCTGTATGCTGAAATACTGCTCCAGCATTGTCTGCTACAACATGTTCAGTACATGTCAGGTATCCTCTTATATTGGTAACTGTGCCTGAATAAACACAATACAACAGCTGAATAGGATTATGCAAGATAACCCTTTCTCAGATTGAAAAAAAGAAAACACACCTGTGGCGCCACATCACTGCTATCCAGGCGCCCCTTATCTTTCTGTCCAGCAGATGAGAGTTTGGCATTATTGAGTTTTGGGAGGCTCGCCGTACCTCATATCCGGCCCATTTTACCATCTTATCCCAGACGGGTGTAATCTCTCCCATTTCATGGATGAATGCCAGTGCTCCTGATGCAAGAGCGCTTTCTCACATATGTGTACAGCACAGAGGCTCGCCTTCACTATCTTGAGGGTTACTCATCTGAGTCCTGGATCTTGGCCATAGTTTTATGAGGCGATGCACTATCAGTGGTCCATACATTTCCCCCAGGATGCTAGAAGCAAGTTTCTGTATAAGTGATGAGCTCTGAGCCAAATCAGTTGCAGAGTTCCGTAGAGCTACTAAAGCTGTCGAATTTAAAAGTGGTTACTTACAGTTTGTATTTAAAACTGTGAATAATTGCCAGCTGTGACTCACTATGGTTATTTTGGAGAGGGTAGTACCTCTCACAGTTGAAGATTCAGTTCTATATTATGTGCACAGACATACGACACCAAACAAAGAGTTTGTTTCTTCCTCAAATATTTTCCGTGTTCATCAAGTGTGGCTGCTGAGGGTGCTGGCAGAATTGTGCCAAATGAACACCAAAGAAGCAGGGTTAAATATAGCCTGGCTGTCATCTTAGCTTTCCTCCCATCATTTTGGATTTGCCACGGTGGGTGCACCCAGGGGTGACTGTCAGTTTGGTTTTACACACTCAACTCAGTGGTGAATGACACACATACCACAAAAACACAGGCGTTTACAGTGAACCTCTTCTCTGAGGCGCAGACCCACGCCAACTGCCTCCGTAAAATCTGAGGGAGGTTCCTGTGATATTGTGTTGCCGTCTCGTCTGTACAATGAGAATCTTAATTATCTAAAAGCCTAGAAATCTTCCAGAAAATCATCTGCTTCTCATTATCTACATTCTCTTTGGTATTTGTATATATCAAAGCAAAATTCTGAAAAAAACAGACACTGATAAAATAAATGTTGCATTCCTTAATCTCTTTCAAATTGCTTTCTTCTCTCAAGGCTTGTTCATCATCTTAATGATCACTCTGGCATGTTGCTTTACTGACTGGGAGAAAAACCTCTCAGTCCAACCAGCCAGAGGAACAAAACAAATAAACCCTCCAGCCGAGAGGGTTGATGGTGAGCTAGAGCACCAGGTCGGGGCAGTGCGGCTTCATTACCGCCGACACGGCGCCTGTGTGCTTTGATAACCTCCCTCACTGTGAGCCATTACCTGGTTATGTGCCGCCTCACAGCCCTCTGGGAAGTCTTCAGAGGTACAAAGAGGATGGGACAAAACACTTTTGCTGCCACTACCTCTATAAAGCTGCATGTCCTCATTCTGAGTCGCTTCCAGACACTTAGCCTTTGTGTCCGACACACTTTTAAGTCTGACTCACCTTTGATACACCATGCCAGGGATACACTATAGTAGTGTGAAATACTGTAAAACGCTCCATTTCAAACAGACAATAAGTACAATTTTTACCGCCCCATAGCACAAAATAGCATGATACATCTGTGGGAGGTTGAAAGAGATTTTTCCTGCTGCAATTACCAGCTTTTATAACTAACTTTCTACTTTCTATTCTGTTTTGTAAAACTGTAAAATGCACCGCCCACTGGAGTTTCTACATTATTTAAAATCTGATTGTCTACCACTCAACATAATGGATATGTATGGTAACTATACATTGCGGTGTGCTAAAGCAGTGAGAGGAGTGACTTGTCTGCAATGAGGCTGGGATTATTTTGAGACGACAGCTAAAGAGCATGGTGCTAAGTGCATCACTGCAGTTAAGTAGCAACAAATCCTGAGGAGCACAAAAAGTCAATTGTACTTTTTTAAATATTATTTCAAAGGCCTGCTTTTGTGAAAAACACAGCATGGAGGTAGATTTGGAAGGATGTTTCATGAGGAGCCAATCAAAAGAATTATTTCTGATTATACATTGGTTAATGATAATACCCACATCTTCCTCTGTGAGCCATAATTAGGCATGGTAAACAGGATGACAATAGAGGAGAAGGCTGATCCCAGGCCATCAATTACTTGTCCTCCTCCTTAAGCTCTGGCTGAGCCGCCTTGTGGATGGAGGCTAATTATTGTTATTACAGACCTGCCCATTATTTCATCCATCTGCTACACTTTTAAGCCCATTCTCAGGGCAGAAAAGCAGTCGCAACTAACCAAAATCAAAACTCAGACTGCAATTTAGAGTATATTCTGGTTGTGTGTAATTAGAAACATGCACTGTGCTATTACTGTATGCTAATAATTCACCCTGAAACCCACAGACCAGTGCACACAGATAAAACATGTTCCAATTAAATGTGACATACAGTATGTGGTGTCAAACTGTCTGGCTTCCCCTGCTATTTCCCTTTTCTCTAAGAGAGAAACCTGGCCTTCAAAGTAAACAGATTCACACCATTTTCGTACTGGCTAGTCGATGTGGCTGACAACTCAAAATGTTGAGAATCCCATGATGCAAATGGGCACAGGTGAGAGCTAATGCCAGTAGCATAAAATGGCAGCGGGAGAAGGTTTTTTTTTTTTTTTCAAATGGCTGCTTGCGCTGGTCTGATAGATGAAAGGGAGCTCTGGGCTTTTAATGTGCGCCGTGTTACTGTACTGCAGGATGTTTGGGCTTATATGGAGAGGCTGGGCTGTCAGGCAGAAAGCAAGTGGACCCAGGTGTATGGTAATTGCAGCAGAAAGAGTCAAGGCGGGAGGGAACTGCACACCGGGGAATTTAAAATGAAACCACTGAAGAAAGTCAAAGGAGAGGAGGGAGGGAGGGAGAGGGGGCAGCTTATTGTGTGATTTTGTATTTTTGTTTCTGAGTGTGTGCATACAGAACTTTGTGTGCAGCTGATCAATATTACACCACAACCTCATTGTTATAGGTTTAGTCAAGGTGCCTATAGACTGGTTGATAACGATCTAAAGTTAATTGCATGTTAACTGTGTGAAATGGTCCCAAACTGCGTCACACTGTACAATATTAATTATGAGTCAGTCTGTGCAATGAGTATCTGCTGAATCGTAGCGTTGCAATGTATTTCACATCAGTGTTGATGATATGTTGGTTCATTGATGTAGTAGTTGCAGTCATATTGTGGGATTTTGCTCCTAAATTGTGGACTTTCCCGAAGTTTGAAGCATCCTGTCTTTGGTCGTTTAATCTCTAAATCAGGCATTAAGCCATCTAAGGTCCTTTAAGGCTGGAACTGAAGATCATAATGAGTCTTTTAGTCCAAAATATTATGATATTCAATTTAATGCGATATAAGATCAAGAAAAAAAGAGAGAAAACAAAAAGCTGTAGTCTTTCCCACCCCGACAGGAAGACAATTCTTACATTTTATATTTTTATACTTTATACAAAATATAACTTTTAGCAGTCTTGGTTGATGAACTGTAATATGAATTACTCTGTGTGCTTGTATTAGAATTGTAGAGCGATTCAGGTATGTCTGGATTTAAAACTGTAACGTGCACACAGCTGGCTCTGCTATGCAGCTTTGCCCACATTGCTGACTTGCCCCCACAGGAAATACAGTTTCACAAAATGGGATCTGTTCATTTTAAAACTCACATTAAAACTTTTATGAGGAAAACAAAAAAATGTGTCCCTTAATGAAACATTTGATTGATGGAAACAGACCCCGTGTTGTCTGTGTATGCTGCAGTCATGAACCTGCGGGTGTTGCATGTACAAGGATGACCACCCCTCTTCTGCCCTAACAAGTGGCACATTCTGTTACCATGACATCAGACCCGCTATTCAGACTTGACTGTATTGTGATAAATGTCATCTATTGATCTTAATGCTACATGGGTTTATTGGAGCTACACCACAGAAGAAATATGTTTTATTCTTTCTACTTGTTTTTTTTTCACACATATTGTCTTCATCAGTTTATGATACAATTATTAATGGTTGCATGTGTTCAATTAGGTCTGAACAGTTCCGTTTCTTTACAACTTTTAAGATGTTTTTGAGGAAAAACTCAGTCAAAGTCATCTTTTTTTCTTTGACAAATGTAATTGTTACCAGTGATGTGTTTGGGTGGTTGTTAGTGTTGTAGGAGAGGGAAAGTGTGTACCGCAGTGCATGTATAATTACAGACAAAAGGGCCTGTCAGAGGGGAAGTCAGTGGGCACACACACACCATTACAATTCTCCTCACCTGACAAGCCTCCCACATCCATTTTCTTCAGGTTTTTGGCCTCGAGGACGACCACGGTCAGCTTGCCGGCAGTGGGAACATATCGCAGAGAGAAGCAGATATCGCCCAGCTTCTCTTGCTGTTGGACAGGCAGAGACATTGCAGAGGTAAGAACAGTTTTAACAGCAACCACTAAATCCAAATTTACTGCCTCACATGCTAACAGCAGATGCTCGCTGAGAAGCTACCTCCTAATTTACCCTCCAAAGCACATTAGAAATTGTTCAGTCAACCAAATCTGAAGCTCCGGTGTGCATTTTTAACATGTTAGACGTGTTGATGTTTATTTGGTTCTGCTCTCCGCAAACCGAAGTGATGATGAAAGCTGAGAGTACCAATGTTCTTATATGAAAAGTGATAGTTTAATGGTATTAAAGGTTAAAGTACTGCACAGTGACACCTGGTTATAGAGTTGTTTACAGTAATTACAGTATCCAGTTTCAATCAGGGTGTACATATGCATAAAATTAACATAAGTGGCAATAACATGCATTTATAATGGCTTTTAGTGTATATATTTTTATGCACAGTGCTTTCTAATGTAGAAAATGCATAGAAAGATCAGCATACATACTTAAGTGGTCAGTGTAGAACTACAAAACCAAAATACTTAAGTATAGGAGGAAGAAATATTTGAGTTAGCATGTGATTTAGCCACTATAATGACATTACTCTTGTTTGTAGAGAGCTGTGTACCAAATTATTAGATGAACCGCAGTAGTAGACATGTTCATTTGGGTGGCAACATTCCTATTATTGATTTGAAATGAAAGAAAAGAACATTGAACACTTATACACAAAGTATCCTTATATTATCATGTAATTCGATTTTCTGATCATTCAGACACAATACCAATACTAACATTGATCTTTGTTCTTGTTCATCAGGAACATTACAATTAGTGCTCCAAGAAAGCCTTCTGTACTCTTCTTATCAAATAAGTAACAAATACTGAACAGTGTGTGTCTAATATATTTCATGTGTTTATTTACATCATAGCAACATCCCAGAACATATTCAGATCACAATAATAAAAAAAAAGATGAGTGGAGACATTTTTTTTGGACACAAATATGCATACACAGATCTTTCCTAATATATTGTATATTCAAAACGATCTGCTGATCCATTTGCAGGACAAGCTGTTAACAAGGTTAGTCATCATGTGAGCCTGCTGTCTGTTGTCCTATTGTATAAATGGGAAAATAAAGCACAGAAACAAAATCACAACAATCACACACCGCTCTATTACTTCAACTGCCAAGTGACAAACTCAGCTTTGGCAGGTTTATCATGCAAAATAATTTCTTTCATGAGCACCTCCAGAATTTTGTTGATTAAATAAAATGATGAATAAATAAAAACTCTAATTAAAGTAACTACAAATGTTGAAAATAAGGCCTGCTAGTGCTACTGCAGCTGCTGCTACAACTAATGATAGGAAGATTTACATAATGCATGTACAATACAAAAACATATTCAAATGTACTAATTATACTACAATTTATAGAGTACTGGACTCTTTAATTTATCCATTTTAGGAAATTGGTTTATTATGTGTCCATGTACCTATTTCATATAACTCTACTCTTCAAGTAGCATATAAATGGACAATTATCAAAGTGCTTAAATAAAAAAGCCTATAACAAGGGTCACAGAAGACACAGTGTGTCCAATGCAATGCTTCATATCACACCGCGTCTCTGAGTCAGAGCTTCAGAGTCATAGCCAATCAACTGTAGAACAACTCCTTGCATGTTTTCAATCTTCCACTATGGATTTGGTCTTTTGTTTTGGTTTGAATGCTTTCTAATATCGACTCCCACTTTTGTTTGTCACTCATCACTTTTCTGGAAAAGTACTGACTGCAATCACTTCACTGGTTCACACAAATCACAACACAGCCTCATTATCATACACTGAGCGAAGAGCGATTCATATTTTTGGCATATTCCTTATCAACACAAGGAGCAGTCAATAACTCTCTCTCGGGTCACATCTGCTTTTTACGCGTGGCCATTTTTGAATGGGGATTGTAAATCGGAGGCAAATCAGACCTGAATATTGACGTTTGTTTTATTTCAGGAGTCTTTCATCAAGTTCCAATCAAGGCCTATTTCCACATGCCGAATCAGTGTGCTGAAAATGGTTGCAGTCTGTTTTGTAAAGGGCCCCCACCGATTTCATTTATCATCTACCATCCTGACAGCTACACTACAAAACTTGTTTTGGATTTAATACACAAATACACGCTCCCCTATAACGCAGCAGTTAATTATGCCTGTCAAGAGCAGTGACCAAGCTCTTTAATATTTTCTATGAACTGTGAAAGGCCAACAGCTGCCTATTCAACTTAAAGGGCATTTTTGGAACCTACTACTTCATATTTGACCTTAAAGTAAAGAGGATTGTGTTACCTGTGTGTAGGTGGAGTATTAAATCTCTAGTTTTATTCATTCTGCTGACTTTTCACTGAATACACTGCTAAAAGATTTATACCTGAAAGAGCAGCTCTTTCTTTGTGCCTTCGCACTGATATGCTGAGTCCTTCAGAGCTTTCTTTGCTTTATGTATACTGAAAGCCAGTGCTCCCAATCTGTTTTGGCTTGTTATCTCAAATCCAGGTGTACCTGTGACCTCCAATAATTTGAGAGTTTCTTCCTCCACAGTTTTATTTAGATATTTCAGGAGGCCTGAAGTGGAAAGAACAGAGAAACACTCTAAAAAATGAACTTTAATGTAGAAGAAGTATGTATTTACTGGGTGCCCTGGTGACCCAGGAGTTTAGGGAGTTCACCATGAACAACATCCCCAGTCCACCCGGGGCACTTTATTTGCATGTTTTTCCTCTGATAAAGACATAAAATGTGTTTTGGTCTTTCTTATATCCCATTAATCATCTGATGGCCACTTAAATTTGACTACCCCTCGCAAAGGGTCCCGACCTCTAGGTTGGAAATGATTTCTCTATACTGATTATAACTTTTGAAGTGATATTATTCTGGTAGATGTCTAAATTTGGGGTGCTCATACATAACATTTGACACTGTTTCTTCCTTACACCCTTAATTTTGATTATATTCCTTTTTTAGGCATTATATGTTGCTTTCCTGCAGCTGTTTTGATTGTGATGCTGCTTTCTCCTAAAACATCTAACTTCAGAGAGACATTCTTAATAGTCCAACATTTTGGGAAAATCTACTTTCTGGCATGTTTGTGTAGTGGGTGTGAAGATCCAGGAGGCAATTACTAAAACTTAGCTTAGCATAAAGACTGAACGCAGGGGAAAACAGTTAGCCTGGCTCTCACTAAAGTTACACTAATCAACACCTCTAAAGCTCACTGATTGACATGTTGCATCTTGTTCGTTTAGTCCAGGGGGCATTCTGTGGTCAGTGGAGATAGAAGTTCTATATCAATAAACTATTACTATTACAGTTACTTCAAATACACACGTTAACCGTCAAATAACAGCTCTTGTAAAGAACGTTCCCTGGACATTTCTTTTGGTATACCTATACAATTTAATGCAATCCAATACAACACAACAAAGATCTGCCACAAATTTTGCATTTGAGAAAATTATACTTGTCATTTATTATTCTGGCCTATGATCTGTTTTTAGTACAAAAAATGCAATGCTTCTTGAACAGCTACGATTCAGGGCTTTGCTGAAAACATTCATAGCTTAAGCCCCGTAAGCCCTCCCCAGCCATTGCCCATGGTTTGTGCTACAGGTAACTTAACTCTTGGAAATAAACAAATACGTGTATTTCCCAAAAACAAAATGTAATTCCTTTCTTTTACACACTGTAAAAATAATATTTAAGTTTTGTTTGGATCATCAACAAAATGGAGCCCTCTTCACTTTGGCAGGTGTAATTTGCAGCTACTGAGGCAGACACTTGCTTACATGAGTTCTGCAAACCCCCTGGCATTGCACATTACATAAAAAGGTTGTTAACAAGTAAACAAATGGATTACTTTATTGCCACTTCTATGCATTCCAAATTACTGTTCAGTGCCACATTGTGATTAGAGCGTTGAACAAATTAACGTAGTAATAAAAAAAATCCAAACTTTTCATCAGATGCAATGCGAAATATAACAATGTCCATGGTCTGCCTCTGCAACTGCTCTCCATTGAGCTTGAAAACTCCAAAGCGTTGCTCCAGTGTCTCAAGCCTTGCATAAAATTGTCAGGTGCAGCTGTGCGACCAAACGCTAAGGAAGTATAGTGATGCCCTTCAACTCAAACAACACCACCAGCCATTCGACACTGTTATAATTAACCTTTAAATCAAACCGCCGTAATGCTAAAAATGAGCTTCCCCTGGCAACATGTGCTATATGCCATGACATTTACCATGAAAATTGAATCTCCTGAACTGTTGCCTGGAAAGTCACACATCTATTAATTGAAGGGGAAGTGTGGACATCTGATTAAGTGACATTTCCAGGGGAGATGGATTACTTCAGCCACGGCACCACATTTGTGGTTCGAGCACAAATGGCTTGCTTAACACAGCAAAATAATCATTGCGTTATCACTTATGCAAGCACCAATAAACCTACTTATTTATCATTTTCTAGGAGACTGACTGAACCTTTGGTATGCGTGTCTGCCTACACAGGTTTCATAAGTCTTACCTCCTCCTTCTCAGCGCTCTGCAGATCCCGCCACTCCTCTGTTACGTGGCTGAAGTCCACCTTGTTCATGGGCACCTTGATGTCACCGATGGCATCGTGTTTGGAGAAGCGGTCAAAATCGTACACTGTCATTATCAGCGTCTTTCCACCAAGCTCCACATAGGGGACCTGAGAAGGATGAAAACATTAACAGGTCAAAAAGGGCTCAAAATGGGGTTTACTGGCAGGTTGTTCAAGAGTATGCTCTGCTCAGAATCCTCAAATCCATACGACATAATATATTTGATCATCTTTTTTTATTCAAAGATAACGCCAGTGGTGACTGACTCCAGCCCAAACAGGTGATACTATAACAGGTGTTATTAAAAAACCAAACTGGAGCCTGGTCAAAAGTAGACATCTTGCGCATAGTAATGAATGAGCCAGGTTAGCCACGTTTAGCAAATTTTGGACCAAATGTGTTATTAGATTTGAGTTGTGAGAAAGAGGAAGCATTTAGAAAAAATATTCAAAATAATCACAGCAGCTACCGATATAATGAAAGACAGCCTAAGCATTAGCTAGTTAGCATGTCATCAGAAGCTTAAAATATCTTTAAGTACAGATGATATTATATTTAGGGACACTGAGTGGAGAAAATAAATCCTCTTTTTCTTCTATTTATCTATCGACTGAGGGAATGAGCTTTAACTTAGCAGGCTAGGCTAACATTTCCAATTGTAAACTACCGGTTAAAGTCTATGATGTGGACTGTGTGCTGTTACTATGTTGCAGAATTGCATGGAGGACGCAACGTAATGCAATCCAGCCCTGCAATAACTCCTATCTTTGTTTTCATGTCCAGTTTTTATTGAATTTGTAAGACAGGCGTTGAGTCAGCTGCAGTTTTACAGCCGTGGTTTGTTGGTCAGGGCTGTATTAAATTAAAAAGTATTTCAGTAGTTTTGTGCATATCAACTCAAAAGTTTCATACATTTTAATTTAATACTGTCAGTCCTGGACTTCCATAGAAAACGCTTGTGTTGTTTCCTAAAGTTAATTACATGCCAAGCAGAGTCAGATGTGTGTGTTTTTGGAGTGGGTGGATGGTGATGTTGTGAGTGATTCTGTTTCCAAATCAATCACTACTCTTCCAGCCTCCGCGCTGTAGAGATGGTGTTATCAGTCCTACAAGGTAGGATGGGTAAAAGACAGGTGAGGGGGGTCCTCAGCAGCAATTGTGATCCATGATTGCCTTCAATTTCGGGACAAAACTTATTGAATGGAAATGGCTTGTTACAAGACAAAAAAGAAGAATGAGGGAACGATAAGACTCCCTGGTTTGTCCTTGACATTATCTCACAAAATCATCTTGACAGGGCTTATAATCACCTCTCCTGTTTTTTTTTCACTGATTTGGAATTAGGTATGACAAAAGAAAATACACACATACACACAAACCTTGTATTGAGATGGATATCACATCAAATTATGCTTAACTTACACCACACACCTGCACTCTTCACTGTCGAATGAATAACAAAACTTTCCCCACTGCTGAGCAACAGCCATGCATCCATTATGGCTGAGGCAAGGCCAGGGTGTAGCGGTGCATCTGCCTGTGTTAATCCCAATCACATTGAGCCTCAGTTTGTGTATGTGAGTGTAACTGTGTGTTTGTGTGAGAGATATTCTGTCAGGAGCTTGTTAATGTGCCAGCTGGTTGCTGTCTCCACACCTTCCCAGCATTCACGGCTGCATGCAAATCAGATTGTCAGTGGAACCAAAAGATCTTCAGCTCTAAAAACATTTTTAAGCATTTGGTCGAAGCAAATTAAATTAAACTCTTGTGAGGTCTACCTTGAAGGTGAACTGCTCATTGAAGACAGGATTCAGGGTCTTCCTGTGGACCTTGGTCTCAAACTTCTTCTTCTTGTCAGGCAAAAGGTAGACCTTCACATATGGGTCAGATGTGCCACCCATGTCCATAGCAGGCAGCTCTGCCGCTTGGATGATCCCCACAATAAGCTAAAAGAGCAAGACGAAAGGGTAAAAAGGTGAGAGAAGGCATGTCAGACTGTCAGACTAATTTAAATGATCATAACTTGCACCTTCATCCCACCAAAATCGGCAGAGAAACCCTATCTTGGTTAAAGAAATGTCTCGAAATATTTCCTAATCATTGCTCTCAGACCTTGAGGAACATTGGCTTTTTCAGTCACATATCTTGTCTTTTCATATCACTGGCAATCATACCTTCATAATGGTGGCTTAAAGATGATTCAGTGTAATTTTTATGGGAAATGGTGGCAATAGTAAAAGGTTATGTCGGCAGAAGAGATGGTAAAGGTCAGGATGTGTCAGAGCAGAAATGAGAGGACTGATTCTTTTCACATAAGGCCGATAATTGATAATCACAATGGGGGGCCTGGGAGGCTGATTGACCTGCCAGTCAGAGCCTCTACTCAAAGGCCTCTCAGGAGGCCCAGCCAGTCAGTCAATCAACTTCCTATCAGGCCGCCATCAAGCAGCAATCTGGAGGCTGACCAGGGCACTCAGCCATGGTGCTCTACAGCTGTCAGGAGCTTCATCAGTTTACTGTGTGGCGCTACTACTGATACAGTGGTAAATAAAAACGTAGAAAACAATGATCTCCAGTTGGTAATCACCTGAGGCAAATAACTACCAATATGAAGGAAAATCAGAACCAGACAGAAACCGTAGATTTATTTATTTTCTTTTTTTCTTACAGAGTAATGGTAAGATTTTGAAATCCTTGAGAAATTCCCAGAAGCTAAAAAACAGGTAGAGCCCAAGCACTTTTAAGACTTCTAGCCTGTGTTGGCTTAAAAATTCGTTTTTGAGCTTTGAAATGATAGTTTGACAAAACAATCCCAGCTCAAACTCACAAATCCCAATGCAAACTCCTTCTGCTGATGAAGATCACATGATACATTAGAAAGCTTGTAAGTAGACCTTGAGTTTGGATTGTAATGGTAAAAACTAGATCTCGGCAGTCTAGTCATACTACTCTACTAGGTTAGACAGACCTTTCAGGATAAAAAAGTAAAAAAAATGTAGCTATCTAGCTAGGACAGTCTACAGAGTTTCGGGGATCATGCCCTGTTCCAGGGTGCAAAACTATGTTTTTTGTCCACCAGCTGAATGGCTAGGAAAAGTAAAATTTTTACCAGCCACTCAATAAACTGCCATTGTATTTTTGGCTGGTGAGTGAAGCAAACCAACAGCATATTATACCAGCATTTAGCTGGTGGCTACTATTAATTTGGTGCCCTGTCCTGTTTTCAGAAAATTGACAAAATTCTTTCTCATTAATGTTTCTATTTTAATCATCATCTTTCCATCATTTCCTTTTTACTGGCCTCCATCTGATACTTTAAAAACTCTAAAAATTTGCTTCCACACATTAATTTTTAATTCAATTAATTAGATTAGTTCTGCCTGCAGAGCAGCTCTTTCCCTGACAAATGTTTAAATAGCTAAAACTCCAACAAGCTAAATGTACCTTACATATGTTTCTTGGTATTTATATTGCCATATACTATGACTTTATGTTGTGATGATATATCTAAGTTAGGTTTGTTTAACCTTCACTTTATCGCTGTATGTGAGTATTAGAGAGTATGGCCCAGGTTAATGTTATCATTTCCCATATTAATCAGTATCTGTCTCAGTACTACTAAGCATACTGATCTGCATTGGATGGTGGTGAGATTACAGTAAGAGAAAGGTCTTCATGAAATGATGGAGTATTAATTACAAAATGGCAACATTATGAATATGCACCACTAATGAACACGTGTACTCTATGCACCCACAAACAAATATCACACATGACGATAGTGAACACAAGACAAGAACATCATGGATGGAACATATCTGATTAATTAACTGCTCCCCAGGTTGTGCACAACATTTTCTTGACATTACACTGCAAACACAGAAATCTGATTCTGTCATGATTTCAGACCATTTTGACATAAATACAACTTCTATAATTGCACATGTGAGTGTAGCTTATCAGGATTACTCACTGTGTAATAGTAACATACCTCAGAAGGCAAATAAAAGACGTACAATTATTCTGTCATTTACCTGAATCTAAATGTAGCCATATTTTGCACTGTAGTGCTATGAAGTGACACTTGTATTGTGAGTGTAGCTATTCATCCGTGCATGCTGTCCTTCTGATTTCCACCCATCCATCAGCACAGGCTGTGGCAGACACACCATGTCATACCATCCTTACTGGAAGAGGCACTGGTGCTTTAGAAGAGAGATAAGAGCAGGAAGTGGTTGGAAATGTTGATATGTAGTTTGCTGCTTAAACTAATTGTAACTTTCCCCATGCTGTATGACACTGAACTCCAATTCAAGACAGGTTTTCCCAAATTTCATTAGGAACTCCTTTGATCAAATTTCCCTTCTACTGAGCTTTTCCTAAAGTCACTTTTTGTCCTAATTTTCTCAAAATTGTCTTAAGTGACAGAAGTGACTTTTCTATTACAATTTCAATTACCCAGATGTTACATGATCATTTTCTAGCTGCTACCATTTCATTTAAACTGTTTTATTTCTTCTATGCACTTTGTGTAATTTACATATTATAGATTTGCATGCTGTGCCATGTGTGTATGTAATTCAATGCTGAGCATATCACTAAAAGAAATAGGGAAAGCACTTCCAGAACCAAGGGCTCCCAATAAAATAATCTACCCAAAGTCTAATTATAACTATTATTTTTAACAACTGACTACAGACTATCACACCTTTCAGAGTAAAAGAAAACATCAATTGTGGTTGTGTGTTTGCACATCTGTGTGGGTGTTTCTGTTTTACTAAGGACTCAGGCCCTTCCACAGCAGAAGGCTGCTGGTATTAACCCCACTCTGTTTGTGTGCTACTCTTCAGCCCAGTAAGCAGCACGCTGACCAGAATGGGTACAGGATGGTGATTCAGCCGTTGGCAGCTTATCTTGGAGAGCTTTGTCCCAGTGCATCATGGCTCTGCTGTGACCACTGCACAAACACACATGCACACTTCCAAAGAATAGTCTCTTTCCAGGCTTATATTTACTAAATTGGCTTTGTGTGTTATTTTTATAATGAACTAATAAATAACAATAAAGAAATTATTGAAATCCATCTCTTAAAAATAAGAATTAATTAATATAATAATAATTAAAATTAATAAAATTCACATATTCTGACTGGACACAATGCAATAGCCAGGCCTGCTCTTGACCTGCAGAAAGAGCAATGAAAATGGTAATGATGTTGAAAGTAGGAATGACATTATAATTCCCTTCCTGCTGTGCTGAGAGGGCTCTTTGTGGTTCATTTGCTGTGTATTTGCCTGATGTAGCCGCGTCGTCGCTCCCTGAGTGATTTGGATCTTTTACAAAACCTTTTCGTCTCATTAGTGTATAAACTCAGAATCATCAACACCAGGGGCAGCAGCCATTTGTGGTGTTTAACAGACAGAAACAAAGCTGAGACTCATTGCCACGAGGACCTGACATTAATCTGCACATCTTTTCCCACTTTGCCTGTTCTTCTTGCCTCAGTCTCTGCACACACGCAAACCAGTGTTTCCCCTTTTTTTTGGCAGGATGGAACACATTTACTGACAAATGTATTTTAAGCCACCATGGGAAAGTCTCTTTTTCAGTTCATACAACATCTTATTTAGCAGTGCTTACGACAGAATCTTAAATGAGGCTTGTCTTCTCTATTTGTGAGACTAATTGGTATGACATATACAGTGTAGCTCATTGGTGACATTTTTTACAATAAGTGAAACAGTTTCACTAGTTTCCATTAGTCCACAAGCACCTCTACTTAAAGAGGCAATTTGGGATTCATAAACATGGAAATAGCTTTATTCATGATCCACTACACTGACTGTCTGGTACTGAGGACCCTCCCCTCTTCACTGTTGACATATCATATCTAAAGAGTAAGATGGAGATTTAGACTCTAAATTAGAAATTAGATACTGAATATCATTAGTTTTTTCCCCTGCAGAGCACATTCAAATGCAATTTTTTTTAACTTTGATTTAGTTCTGCAACTCCAGGATAGATAAGTCCTTCTTAAGGTTAGGGAAAGCTGTGGTTATAGCAACAAAACTCTTCGTCATCATTATGGCATTGTTAAGATTAAGCAACTAAAACCCTCGCTTACAGTTATACAAAGATCATGGTTACAGAAAAATTAAAACCGGCTGGTCTGTGATGGGACATAAACTGTAGTCTCCATTGTGACAGCTAAACATGCTACACACCCATCCATCACCCCAACCTTGTTACATAAACTACTTCCTGCATTGCTGCTGAATGTTATGGACAATTTTTAGCCATCACTAGGATGGCCAGCTTTTTGCCCCACCTTTGAGCACTTTTGCCTTTAGACATTGAGTATTTCATATCTAGTAAAGTCTGGCCTTAGATTGTGAGCTGTATTGTCTAATATGAACGTGATATCTAGGGATACTGGGCTGGTTCTTCCAATTGTGACATCGCACCAAGGGATAATTCAGATTGGCTTGTTTGAACAATTAATTTTCATCTCATCAAAAAGTGAGGGAAACATAGAAAAGTACCGTCTTCATGCATCAACGGTGATCAAATATCATCCCTAACTGCCAATTACCCCAAGACTAGACAATCATTGTTATACGTAATATCCTCTCTTTAAGAGCTGCCACCTATTCAGTAATAATTGAAATTTCACACACAGCCTTCTACTGTATAAAATAACCTACAGCCTAGGCATTAAACCAATCACCTGTGCCAGTTCTCCTCGAGCGGTTCTATGGTGCTCACATTGATTGCATGGGCCTCAAAGCCTGAGGATTAAAAAAAACATTTTCCTGAAGGCCACTGTGCCTCTGGACTATGTCTGTCAATGAGCTGAAAGTGGGTCAGATGAATGGCTGCCTCCCTGGGTTTTTAGGTCTGTCTATTGTGAGCTTCTTTAACTTCTGAGGCAGCCGGCGTGGCAATGAGCCGAAACCGCCTTCTCAGAGGTCACTGTCACAAAGCGTGAAAACTGTCATCCATTCATTACACTTTAGCTGCACTGTGAAGCTTATTACCATTGTAATCAAGAACCTCATAGAGAGACCTGTCACTGTCTCCCACTACATGACAGATCAACGCTGTGAAATGTAATATTGTCCACATAATACCCTTTTTTTATGAAATGACTCAATACTTTGTCATTTTATTCTCTAAAAGAAATAAGGGTCTGGTTGACTGAACACTAATGGTGTTGAATTTTATTAGCATCATTACTGATTCTATAATCTGTACATTGATGAACATTGGGCAGGTTTAGTGTTTTTTGATTACTGTCCAGTGAAGGGGACACAAACTGTACTGATTAAAGTTTTTTAAGGAGATGTACCTATGCCATTGTGTGACTCGGTGTGTATAGGAGCGGTGAGTGTTACTGTCTAATCTCAGGCTGTCAGTTCTGTTTATAATGGGGAGTTAGCTAGCCCAGTGAGGGACAGCGCTGTGTTCATGCACCGCATCTATTATCTGTCACACAACATCTGGCACCAGGAAGTTGATGTGCATCCTCATTCTGCTTTTTAAAACTCAGTCGCTGGAAAAAAATAAAGCAGATGGATATCTGCAGGGGCTGTTTTCAATCAAGTAGAAAGAAAGAAACAAATTCAGAGGCGAAGTAAATCCCAATAGTGTACTGTATCTTTTACAAGGCTTAGTGGTGAATGCACAAACTCGACCACCATGATATCCCTGTGAGATTGGTCTCAAGCTTCAGTGACCAAACTGTGTTTACAGCAGTGGTAATGCAACAAAAGGAGAATGTTGTGCCAAACCTGGGTAGGTCCTGTTTAATCTCTGGGGAGATGAAAAGTTGGACCACCTCAGAGGTTGGGTGTGACCATACTTACGAAGGAGGACCTTTCGCAACAACGACACACACAGAGAGATTCAGAGAACAGATCCTTACCGTATTCTCTGTGAAATTGTAATCCAGGGAGTATTGTAATTTGCCCAGTTTCTGGTCCTCCTTGGGCTCGGCCTCTTGCTCCGTTTCAGTCAGCCCTGTCTCCGCATCCTCCTCATCCTTCAAGGCCTGAAGGAGACACCCACCAAGAGTCAGTGTCGCCTGTTTGTCGCTGGTGCTAGCACCCAGCCAGCCGTTCCCCGCCCAGGTCCTGCCAGTGGACCTACTCCTGTAAAAGCTGCCACTTGTTTTATGGTGTATAAGGGGGAAACGGGGGAAGCAAGCACTAAAACACCATAGCAGTTAACACCAGGACATGCTCTGTGATGCACTAAAGCCCCGGGCCTGGTCCCCTGATGATGCTTTTCTATCAATCTCTGGGTGTTTCTGTCTAAAGGGAGGAAAGATCAAATGATGGCGCCAGAGATGAGAGCAATGGGCAGGCATTAGAGGAAGAAGGGGGGAGGGTAGAGAGACATAGAGAGAGGACAGAAAGAAGGAAAGAGAGATACTTCCGGAAAAAGATCACAGTAAGACAATTCCCTTGATGTTATTTCAGGCAGATCAAGTCTCTGGCAAAAACACATATCAACTGGGAAGTGTCTGAAGTGGCAGAGAGTGAGAAGTGAAGTTGCCCTTTTGCTAGCCTGGCACTGAAGTAAGGGTGGCAGGTGGTGGAATTGGTGAAGGAAGGGGAAGGGTGGGCGGGAGTGGGGGACTTTGTTATAAGACCAACATGCGATTGAAGAGGCAAAGACTAGTTCTCAAGGTCATTCATTCATCGTCAAAAGTTGCCTTCCAAGATGTCTCTTTCGTTAGGCATGCAGAGCATTCTCTGTTGTACAAACCGGTGCTCTCGTGTGATTCCCCATTCTCAAGTCTGGTTACACCCTCAGACATACAGTCACATTGCCATCATAACCCCTAAAGCTTTTATGTTACCCCCTTCGCCGATGGTAGCTAGAAGCATCATGCCAGCGGTGGGTGGGTAGGTGTTGGTAAAAGGGGGTTGTAATGTACATCGGGGCCTGCTCCTATTAGTTTGTCAAGTTGCTCATGTGAAAGCAAAAGGCTGAACAACACTGATTGGTTTAACATTCTCCGCTGAGCCACTTGGTCTCCGCCCTTTGGGAGCAAATTCAAATTGAGTGGTCTTTAGGTCTTCTTTGACACATAAAAGAGAAGAAAGTGGAGCAGGTAAAATGATTGAGGAAGTAAAATCCCCTAATTTATCAAACGTGTATTTTATATGATTTTATAAGGTTAATCCAACTTTTATGCATCTGTGCTCCAGGAAAGGTGTGATTATTTTCACCGAGGTTGACAGCTGTGAATGCAAATGCTGCTGTATGTCAAAAGCTTCTTTTTCATCATCAGTTTCAAAAGAACATTTACTTGTAGAGCCTCTCAATCATTCTACGTTTGCTCGCCGCCACTCGTTTGAAATGTAAATTCAAGATTCAAAAGGCAGGAGACTTTAGCTTGGCACAAAAATCAGCATGGTTCAACCTTGTCAATGCGCACCCAGTGTTTCTTTCATACATATATATGTGCATATGCAGGTTGTACGCACATATATACAGTAGATATACATGTACTGTATGCATAGTTACATATATTTGGTTCTACGGGAGTAAGTTGTTGTCAAGAGGCTACGAAAAAACATCAGAGCAGCAGGCTTAAGAAGATCCAACAGCAATTAGGAACCTACCGCCAGTGACCATCCCGAACAGTCATCAGACACAACACAGATAAGGAGGACATAGAAGGAAGAAACACAAATTAAAACAACCACACACAGGAGTTATCACACCAGAGTCTGGGCACACCAGGAGAAATGACCGCTTGCCTCGGAAGTGGCAGATTCACCGATCTCAGCGATAAATTATAGGGTGACCAATAACTGAGGTCTTTTATTTTGATAAATGTCTATTTAAAAATACAAAATTGGATAGTTCAAAGGAGTTAGGATATTGGAAATTAATGGAAAATCTTCTCGTCTAACAAGCTAAGTGATGTACTGTACTGAAGCTATTTGATTGACCTTGCTTTGTTGTCAAAGGTTCCAACTGCTCTCTGTTACAAAAGAAAATAAATGAGTCTTTAACATTTCATTTATGCTGCCCTCTACAATAAGTAAGTTAAATGAAGTATGAAAACATTGCCAGTGGTTTCTGTCTGCAATTCGGATCCACCTCTGATAGCAGAGATGTTGCAGCAAATTATACACACTTTGTACATGTTTCCACCAAGGAAGGCAGCATAATGATGCTCCGCTGGTGCAATTAGTGTGCTAACTCCATCTGAAGTGTCAGCGTTTCATTGCTTCCCAAACTGTACTGTTGAAAGACAGAGTTCAATTAAATTTTCTCCCATTTGTTTATCATTTGGTGATGTCATTTCTCTGGGTGGATACCACTTCATTACACGGTTACTCACACTCTTCAACGAGTGAGCAGGTCCTCATATGACAAAAAGAAACACTCACAGGAATGGAAAGTAGGAGAAAAAGAGAGACTGAAATACTCTCTTTTCAATCTGAAGCCATTTAAGTGACTTCCATTAATTCTCCTGTAATTAGACTGAATTCTTTTTTAATTAAGTGGTGAAATATCATAGTAAGTAATACTGTATGTATCTCTTTGGCAAAATTTAAACATAATAGGTAAAAAAAAAAAAATACAGTACAGTAGCAGCCATTGCATTTAAAAATAGGGACGTTTTTGACGGCCATATTTGCAGTGAAATTAATATTATACTGTTTGGTGAACGTTTTGATGGAGGTACTTCTTCTAAATATGACCAATCAAATCTGTCAGCATTAGAAGCACTACGATTATAGAAAGAAAATGCATTTTTAACAGAGCAAAAGGAAAAGAAAACAATATTGGATATATTTAAAAGAAATTATTTTCAGCTTCTAGTTTCTTGTTTAACATCATGCACAAAGGGATCCAGCAAAAACAAAATGTTTTGGCAGTAAGAGCGTTTATAAATTGGCATGTGGGAAATGTTTCTGAATTTTATCAACAATAGTTCAAAGTCTTTACCTCGGTTTTGGCTCCATCCTTGACGTCCATCATGTTGATGGCATTTTTGCCCTTGTCTTTGCCCTTCTTTTTGTTTTTCTTCTTGAATATCCATTTTTTGCAGATGCAGAAGCAGCATGCTAACACCAGGATGATTGCCACAAAGGCAATTGAGACAATGGCCCATGATGGCACTGGGGAAAGAGCAAACAGGAAAGAGTTTGGATTAAACTCCTGGGAGAAATATACATTGCTGCATCTTGCAGAGAAGAAAACAACATTTCAGTGAACTGGGCCAGAGCAGGATTTGAACCAAAGTTCCAAATAGCGATTATACCAACTGACAGGTGAGATAAAAGAAGGAAAATGCGTGCGCCTGCAGAGTTGGCACACCGGATCAGCACCTAAGCCAGCGCCTGGGTCCATCAAGAAGTGGCAGACTCCTAACGATTGGACCTGACTAGCAGGACAAGACACGACTGCACAGCTTCAGCCAATTTAGTGGAAGTAACAGATGTTGGCATTTTCCACTTGCCATTTAAACAAAAGATTCTCAGACATCTGACACTTTCACGGCAATCACCGGCAACACAGAACTTGCTGGGACTGAGAGCGGTGGTAATTTTGCAGGGTGTGCTTGAGAGGCATTAACAGCGGTACGACCATGACAAGCCAATGATGCAGTAAAACCATAAGGGTTCACGGGGGTTTGACACACATTGTTCACATGCTGTCAGCTCCTATATTACCTTTAAAAACTATGAGAAATTCTTCACAAAATCTTTTGTGTTAAAATTTCAGGCTGAGAATTTTTACAAAGAGGCTTTTTGACTAAAACCTTTCTTAGACTTCTCCACATAAAAAACCCCTCATTTCACTGGTTAAATTAAAGCTGAACATTTAGAGTTCAGTCCATAGAAAATGAAAAAACAACAGCAGGAGGGTCAATTTAATTTAAAATAATCAAACCATCAGTTTCCCAGTAATCCCGTTTGTCAAACATTTCTTTTATGCCCCCCAGCTGCGCCAGAACTGAGGTTTTTGGATCGAAAGTTTTTTAACTTTAATGATTCTTGTTTTAAGGTGATACTAGTGAAAACATAGTTATGCATATTATATTCCATTTCTGCCAATAGACCCTCCTAAATGTTACACAATGGATCTTTAAGGCTTCTTTAAAACAGCAGCAGTCCAGACAAAAAAAACCCCCAAAAAACAAAAGCTTCATGCGATGTATCATCTCTCTTAAACAAGATTCAAGTAGTAAAACGAATAAAGTAATAGCTACCTTGAAGGGAGGAACAAATATCATAATAACAGTTAAAGGGCTAGCATAGCCAGGCAAACAGTTTTTTGATGTTTAACTAAACTCTTTTGAGCAGCTCTTGTACCTGTTTCACGGTCATACAGGCCAAAATATGAAATATCAGTGAGAATAATAATTAGATAGATGAAAAGGTGTAGAATTATTTACCCTTTTGGCAGTACTTCCCAGCAGTATATAACAATAATTCCTGATAATATCATTAATTATTCATTAAGCACGACCTGGATCTGATTAAGCAGCGCAAAAGGGATGGATGAATGGATGGATGGATTAACCAATTATAAAAAGAACTATAATTAATTTAAGGTCTACATATGAATTTCACATAAGGCTAGAGGTCTGGGGCAATAGTACTGGGGTTTTCATACATAAATACTGTTACTGGCTAATATATATATTATTGCCGTTTTAAAAACATTTAAAGATATTTTTGTAAGGAAAGTAAAATCCTGTAAAAAGTAAATTTTAAGAAATAAAAGTGCTTATTAAATGATAAATCAGAAAAGGCAATTTGATGTGAGTGGCATACAAGTTGTTGTTTCTTCCACCATATGTTGCTGCTCTACTGCACGGACCTGACTGGAGAAATTGGACAACCAGCAGTCAACTCTGTCACCTACAGACTGTCAGACACTCAGCTCAACAACACAGTGACAGCCATCTGCAAACACAGTGACACCTATCTCAGCTATAGTCAGCCAGTGCTCCCTGGTGCATGCACACAGGTACAGTGTACACCGCGTACACACACACTTACACACAAACACGGTGATGGAAGGGGGTTGTTTTAAGTACCAGAGAGACAACATAAAGTCCAGATGGGCTGAAAATAATGAGAGACCTCGCAACAGACTTCTCCCTTCAGCAGTCATAATCGTTGCTCCTTCAATCTCTGCAGACACCAAACACCTGGCAGCCCACCCACTATTTTAATAGAGAGGAATAACAGACAAATGAGTCAATTTAAGGAACATGTTTTTGGTTTTGTCAGTGCTTACTACTCTGAAAGGCAAAGGGAATACTTCTGCCGGAGGCAATTTGGAATTATCTGAAAAATATGCCTTACTGAAAAAAAAGAGATACAATATCCATCTTCTTCTTGAGAAAGACAAAATTCCACATGACACAGTTCCTGTCATGCTTCATCTTAGGAATTATCCCAAAGGTGATCATAAATCCAACAAACCAATAGATAATATAAGCCAGGTGAAACTCCAGTCCCTTGAAGACTTTATCTGAAAAACTCCAAAAAGACCTATCAAAACAGAAAAGTATATTACAGTCTGTCACTTTGGGGTTTTCCTCACCAGAATTCAGCTGTGGTTTCTTTGCTGAGGTCCGAGGGGAAAGGGAGAGAGGAGAAAAATCGATGCTCTGTTGACAAAATCAATAAGCACTCTCCTCCAAGGAAAAACAGTGAGTGAAGCTCTAAAATAATTTTAAGATCTACAGCTTTGGCCTTGCCTCGGAGCGGTGTGGTAATGGAGGTGACACTGGATGGGTCTCGTTTACAGTGAGCTACCCAGAAAAAGATTTTTCAAACAGATTAGTGGTGCAACTTTTTAACAAGACACCATTCATAAAGGGTTTCTAAGTAACCCTAACTAATGTGTTAATGGTTAATAAAACTAATAAAAACATTTCCAGGACTCCAAGACTTTTCCAGAAGGTTAGAAGTCAAATGGTCCATTTAGTCACAGATTTTTCACAACCTGGCCACTAATTCTTTTTAATGGCTTCTAACTACAATAATATTTATTAACAGTTATTACTGTTATTGCTACAACTTGTAAACCGTTCATGGATGCCTTACTAGAAAGCAGTATGAGATGTGTTTGTGCTCAGAGCCCACATGAATGACTTTGCAGAAAAGATCCGTCAACACCTCCAGTACTTTTGGACAATCCTGGTGAGACTTTAAAACTAACTTTAAAAGACCTCTAACCTTGGAAACAAAACAGGAGCATTTGTCAGTGACTTATACATAAGATTGCTGAGGCACATTTCAGCACTGAAACAGCTACATTTACATCACACAGGCAAATGCAAACGCAACATCGGGTAAGAAGACAGTCTTTTAATGGAAGTGTCGAAGACGTGACAGGTTCGTATTTCAAGCTGGCAAACCACAGCGATAAGCAATCACTCCTCTAAAGGAACCGAATGGAAGCTCTGATTAACAGAAATCAAAATAAATACACTGTAAAACCTCTTTTTCATAACCCCAAATTCTTATGTCACTCTACAGTCATTCTGCCATTTCACCAACGCTCACGACGCCTGATGGAATGCCATTTAGTCAATCCATGAACCCATACCCTTATCTTATTCATCAAGCGTACGTCTTCCAGTGAAAGGCAATTCTGTGTTCCTTAATTAAAGGAACCTGAGTCCCAGAAAGCAATAAAAGCATCCCCTAATTAACTACATTGTGTGAGTGTCGTTTCTCGAGAGAGAAATAGAGCGAGAAAGTGAAAAAGAGAGAGAGCAGGAGTATTGCCAGCATGTGCACTGCACTTCAACTCCCGGCACTTATCTCTTGTTCTGCCGAGCAACATGGCATGGAAAATGGAGTTCCTCTAATGAGTGGGTTGCCCATGATGAAATCCATGTTTGCTGTTCCTCAAGGCTCAAATCACTTTTCAGCAGACACAGAAATTGTATGGCACGGTGGTGGAAAACCACAGCACTGAAGAATGACAAACCTTCAAAGTACTATGAGTGACTGTATTGTACTGTATTTGTGTACTTTTACAGAATAGAGGACTCTGTCTGCTGTACAGATTGTAAAAGTGTCTGTGGCAAATTTGTGATTTTGGGCTATATAAATAAACTTGACTTGACTTTTACACCAAATACCCAAAAGCATATAGTTTGCACAAGACAGTGTGTGAAAAAGCAACATAATCCAACAAAGTTGATTTTGTTCTTTTCTGAATTCCTGGAGTAATGAAACTCTGCTTTCCGATTCTTACTGGGATCCCAAAAAAAAAAAACCTCAAGAATGACAGAAAATATGCTTCTACCTCCTATCAATGGCAGAATCCATTTGGATGCAGGTTGTGGAGGTTATCGTTTTTTGTGGTATAACTTAAATTTACTTGGGCCACAAGACCTGGTGTAAAATCTGTGCGCTGCTATGGTTTGTTTCAAACTTAGTGTGAACCTGTTAGGCACCAGATCAACAACCATACAGGGCTTTCTGGTGATTTGATATGTTGAAGGTTTTAAATGGTTTGGTTGCAATGACTCATATCACTAATTTCATTAGGAGCTGTTTGTTTCTAAGCCTTTTCACTTTTATGTTGAGGAAATCTTGTTTGATTCAGTAAGAGACGCATCAAGGAATCGAACAGCTGCAGCAAACGGCTATACAGTTAGATTTGGAGGAAATAGCTCTGCTTTTTGATGAAGCTCTCAAATGTTCAATGCTCAAATACATGTTAACAGAACCGAGGATTTTGCTGGGAGGAATAATCCCCCCTTAACAAGCACACACACAGACATTACATCTTAATAAAGTCAACAACACCAAAAGGGTTGGCACATTGAGGAGGAGGTTGAAGTAGTGGAGGGAACTGCAGCCCCAAATTTTACATAAGGGCATTAGAAGTATATTCAGTGAGTAATGTCAGGTTATAAAGGCCACTAGCCCCTGGTGACTGAGCCACTGATAGTGAAGGCTGAATAATAGCTAATACCAATCAGTTAATGCAATGCAACATTAGTCTGATGCTCATATTATGTTTTGGAACATAAGATATTTTTTGTTGTTTTAGGCATACCAGTATGAATATTAACTCCACTGGGGTTTGAATGACAGATCTATATTTAGCCAGTAGAACAGAAAATGTAATTTGCCAGAAA